TCACACAAATTGAATTTTCTTTTGAAACTTAAGGGAATCTGAATTCATGCATTGAACCTGGGCTGAAATTGCTCAACAGGTTGACAGTTTGCAAGTTCATTAATCTTGTTTTTCATAGAAGTGCAATGTCCTTAATTTTCGGCAAGGACATATCACACGTGCCTGGGTGGGCTCGAACCACCAACCTTTCGGTTAACAGCCGATTGCGCTAACCAATTGCGCCACAGAGACTTTTGAAGAACACTTGAAGTGGTATAATTTTGCCTCGCTTGACACTAACGCTTTTTGAGTTAATTGTTATAACTGGACAAGTGGACCTGCAATGGACTGTCAACCTGTACCCCACCTGTTTGCCTAGAGACTGCTGGAGATAGGCACCAGCCCCCAGTAAACTGATGGATATATGGAACCTCGTTAATGTCGTATAAACTATCCAGCGGTCAGGTTTTTCAAACAATTGAACTCCCCCAAAAGACTGATCACACAAATTGAATTTTCTTGTGAAACATAAGGGAATCTGAATTCATGCATTGAACCTGGGCTGAAATTGCTCAAGAGGTTGACAGTTTGCAAGTTCATTAATCTTGTTTTTCATAGAAGCGCAATGTCCTTAATTTTCGGCAAGGACATATTACACGTCCCTGGGTGGGCTCGAACCACCAACCTTTCGGTTAACAGCCGAACGCGCTAACCAATTGCGCCACAGAGACTTGTGAGTGTTCCAACCCTTTACATGGCATAATTTTGCCCCGATTGACACTAACGTTATTTCACTTAATTGTTATAACTGCACAAGTGGACCTGCAATGGACTGTCAACCTGTACCCCACCTGTTTGCCTAGAGACTGCTGGAGAAAGGCACCAGCCCCCTGTAAACTGATGGATGTATGGAACGTCGTTAATGTCGTATAAACTATCCATTGGTCAGGTTTATAAAACAAGTGAACTCCCCAAAAATTACTGATCACACAAATTGAATTTTCTTGTGAAACATAAACTGATCTGAATTCATGCGTTGAACCTGGGCTAAAATTGCTCAACATGTTGACTGTTTGCAATTTCATTAATCTTGTTTTTCATAGATATGCAATGCCCTTAATTTTCGGCAAGGACATATTACACGTCCCTGGGTGGGCTCGAACCACCAACCTTTCGGTTAACAGCCGAACGCGCTGTTCCAATTGCGCCACAGAGACTTGTGAGTGTTCCAACCCTTTACATGGTATAATTTTACCCCGATTGACACTAACGCTGTTTCACTTAATTGTTATAACTGCACAAGTGGACGTGCAATGGACTGTCAACCTGTACCCCACCTGTTTGCCTAGAGACTGCTGGAGAAAGGCACCAGCCCCCTGTAAACTGATGGATGTATGGAACGTCGTTAATGTCGTAGAAACTATCCAGTTGTCAGGTTTATAAAACAAGTGAACTCCCCAAAAATTACTGATCACACAAATTGAATTTTCTTGTGAAACATAAGCGGATCTGAATTCATGCGTTGAACCTGGGCTAAAATTGCTCAACAGGTTAACAGTTTGCAAGTTCATTAATCTTGTTTTTCATAGATATGCAATGCCCTTAATTTTTAGCAAGGACATATTACACGCCCCTGGGTGGGCTCGAACCACCAACCTTTCTGTTAACAGCCGAACGCGCTAACCAATTGCGCCATAGAGACTTGTGGAAATGTACACTTGACGTGGTATAATTTTGCCTCGCTTGACACTAACGCTTTTTGACTTAATTGTTATAACTGCACAAGTGGACCTGCAATGGACTGTCAACCTGTACCCCACCTGTTTGCCTAGAGACTGCTGGAGAAAGGCACCAGCCCCCTGTAAACTGATGGATGTATGGAACGTCGTTAATGTCGTAGAAACTATCCAGTTGTCAGGTTTATAAAACAAGTGAACTCCCCAAAAATTACTGATCACACAAATTGAATTTTCTTTTGAAACATAAGGGAATCTGAATTCATGCATTGAACCTGGGCTGAAATTGCTCAACAGGTTGACAGTTTGCAAGTTCATTAATCTTGTTTTTCATAGAAGCGCAATGTGCTTAATTTTCGGCTAGGACATATCACACGTGCCAGGGTGGGCTCGAACTACCAACCTTTCGGTTAACAGCCGAATGCGCTAACCAATTGCGCCACAGAGACTTGTGAAATGTTCCAACCCTTTACATGGCATAATTTTGCCCCGATTGACACTAACGCTGTTTTAATTAATTGTTATAACTGCACAAGTGGACCTGCAATGGACTGTCAACCTGTATCCCACCTTTTTGCCTAGAGACTGCTGGAGAAAGTCACCAGCCCCCTGTAAACTGATGGATGCATGGAACGTCGTTAATGTCGTATAAACTATCCAGCGTTCAGGTTTTTCGAACAAGTGAACTCCCCAAAAATTACTGATAACACAAATTGAATTTTCTTGTGAAACATAAGCGGATCTGAATTCATGCGTTGAACCTGGGCTAAAATTGCTCAACAGGTTGACAGTTTGCAAGTTCATTAATCTTGTTTTTCGTAGATATGCAATGCCCTTAATTTTTAGCAAGGACATATTACACATCCTTGGGTGGGCTCGAACCACCAACCTTTCGGTTAAAAGCCGAACACGCTGTCCAATTGCGCCACAGAGACTTGTGAGTGTTCCAACCCTTTACATGGCATAATTTTGCCCCGATTGACACTAACGTTATTTCACTTAATTGTTATTACTGCACAAGTGGACCTGCAATGGACTGTCAACCTGTACCCCACCTGTTTGCCTAGAGACTGCTGGAGATAGGCACCAGCCCCCAGTAAACTGATGGATGTATGGAACATCGTTAATGTCGTATAAACTTTCCAGTGGTCAGGTTAATAAAACAAGTGAACTCCCCAAAAATTACTGATCACACAAATTGAATTTTCTTGTGAAACATAAGCTGATCTGAATTCATGCATTGAACCTGGGCTGAAATTGCTCAACAGGTTGACAGTTTGCAAGTTCATTAATCTTGTTTTTCATAGAAGCGCAATGTCCTTAAATTTCGGCAAGGACATATTACACGTCCCTGGGTGGGCTCTAACCACCAACCTTTCGGTTAACAGCCGAATGCGCTAACCAATTGCGCCACAGAGACTTGTGAAATGTTCCAACCCTTTACATGGCATAATTTTGCCCCGATTGACACTAACGCTGTTTTACTTAATTGTTATAACTGCACAAGTGGACCTGCAATGGACTGTCAACCTGTATCCCACCTGTTTGTCTAGAGACTGCTGGAGAAAGGCACCAGCCCCCTGTAAACTGATGGATGTATGGAACATCGTTAATGTCGTAGAAACTATCCAGTGGTCAGGTTTATAAAACAAGTGAACTCCCCAAAAATTACTGATCACACAAATTGAATTTTCTTGTGAAACATAAGCGGATCTGAATTTATGCGTTGAACCTGGGCTAAAATTACTCAACAGGTTGACAGTTTGCAAGTTCATTAATCTTGTTTTTCATAGATATGCAATGGCCTTAATTTTTAGCAAGGACATATTACACGTCCCTGGGTGGGCTCGAACCACCAACCTTTCGGTTAACAGCCGAACGAGCTGTCCAATTGCGCCACAGAGACTTGTGAGTGTTCCAACCCTTTACATGGCATAGATTTGCCACGTTTGACACTAACGCTGTTTCACTTAATTGTTATAACTGCACAAGTGGACCTGCAATGGACTGTCAACCTGTATCCCACCTGTTTGCCTAGAGACTGCTGGAGAAAGGCACCAGCCCCCTGTAAACTGATGGATGCATGGAACGTCGTTAATGTCGTATTAAATATCCAGCGGTCAGGTTTTTCGAACAAGTGAACTCCCCAATAATTACTGATCACACAAATTGAATTTTCTTGTGAAACATAAGCGGATCTGAATTCATGCGTTGAACCTGGGCTAAAATTGCTCAACAGGTTGACAGTTTGCAAGTTCATTAATCTTGTTTTTCATAGATATGCAATGGCCTTAATTTTTAGCAAGGACCTATTTCACGTCCCTGGGTGGGCTCGAACCACCAACCTTTCGGTCAACAGCCGAACGCGCTGTCCAATTGCGCCACAGAGACTTGTGAGTGTTCCAACCCTTTACATGGCATAATTTTGCCCCGATTGACACTAACGTTATTTCACTTAATTGTTATAACTGCACAAGTGGACCTGCAATGGACTGTCAACCTGTACCCCACCTGTTTGCCTAGAGACTGCTGGAGATAGGCACCAGCCCCCAGTAAACTGATGGATGTATGGAACATCGTTAATGTCGTATAAACTTTCCAGTGGTCAGGTTAATAAAACAAGTGAACTCCCCAAAAATTACTGATCACACAAACTGAATTTTCTTGTGAAACATAAGGGAATCTGAATTCATGCATTGAACCTGGGCTGAAATTGCTCAATAGGTTGACAGTTTGCAAGTTCATTAATCTTGTTTTTCATAGATATGCAATGCACTTAATTTTTAGCAAGGACATATTACACGTCTCTGGGTGGGCTCAAACCACCAACCTTTCAGTTAACAGCCAAACGCGCTAACCAATTGCGCCACAGAGACTTGTGGAAATGAACACTTGACGTGGTATAATTTTGCCTCGCTTGACACTAACGCTTTTTGACTTAATTGTTATAACTGGACAAGAGGACCTGCAATGGACTGTCAGCCTGTACCCCACCTGTTTGCCTAGAGACTGCTGGAGAAAGGCACCAGCCCCCTGTAAACTGATGGATGTATGGAACGTCGTTAATGTCGTATAAACTATCCATTGGTCAGGTTTATAAAACAAGTGAACTCCCCAAAAATTACTGATCACACAAATTGAATTTTCTTGTGAAACATAAACTGATCTGAATTCATGCGTTGAACCTGGGCTAAAATTGCTCAACAGGTTGACTGTTTGCAATTTCATTAATCTTGTTTTTCATAGATATGCAATGCCCTTAATTTTCGGCAAGGACATATTACACGTCCCTGGGTGGGCTCGAACCACCAACCTTTCGGTTAACAGCGGAACGCACTGTCCCAATTGCGCCACAGAGACTTGTGAGTGTTCCAACCCTTTACATGGTATAATTTTACCCCGATTGACACTAGCGCTGTTTCACTTAATTGTTATAACTGCACAAGTGGACGTGCAATGGACTGTCAACCTGTACCCCACCTGTTTGCCTAGAGACTGCTGGAGAAAGGCACCAGCCCCCTGTAAACTGATGGATGTATGGAACGTCGTTAATGTCGTAGAAACTATCCAGTTGTCAGGTTTATAAAACAAGTGAACTCCCCAAAAATTACTGATCACACAAATTGAATTTTCTTGTGAAACATAAGCGGATCTGAATTCATGCGTTGAACCTGGGCTAAAATTGCTCAACAGGTTAATAGTTTGCAAGTTCATTAATCTTGTTTTTCATAGATATGCAATGCCCTTAATTTTTAGCAAGGACATATTACACGCCCCTGGGTGGGCTCGAACCACCAACCTTTCGGTTAACAGCCGAACGCGCTAACCAATTGCGCCATAGAGACTTGTGGAAATGTACACTTGACGTGGTATAATTTTGCCTCGCTTGACACTAACGCTTTTTGACTTAATTGTTATAACTGCACAAGTGGACCTGCAATGGACTGTCAACCTGTACCCCACCTGGTGCCTAGAGACTGCTGGAGAAAGGCACCAGCCCCCTGTAAACTGATGGATGTATGGAACGTCGTTAATGTCGTAGAAACTATCCAGTTGTCAGGTTTATAAAACAAGTGAACTCCCCAAAAATTACTGATCACACAAATTGAATTTTCTTTTGAAACATAAGGGAATCTGAATTCATGCATTGAACCTGGGCTGAAATTGCTCAACAGGTTAACAGTTTGCAAGTTCATTAATCTTGTTTTTCATAGAAGCGCAATGTGCTTAATTTTCGGCAAGGACATATCACACGTGCCAGGGTGGGCTCGAACCACCAACCTTTCGGTTAACAGCCGAATGCGCTAACCAATTGCGCCACAGAGACTTGTGAAATGTTCCAACCCTTTACATGGCATAATTTTGCCCCGATTGACACTAACGCTGTTTTAATTAATTGTTATAACTGCACAAGTGGACCTGCAATGGACTGTCAACCTGTATCCCACCTGTTTGTCTAGAGACTGCTGGAGAAAGGCACCAGCCCCCTGTAAACTGATGGATGTATGGAACATCGTTAATGTCGTAGAAACTATCCAGTGGTCAGGTTTATAAAACAAGTGAACTCCCCAAAAATTACTGATCACACAAATTGAATTTTCTTGTGAAACATAAGCGGATCTGAATTCATGCGTTGAACCTGGGCTAAAATTGCTCAACAGGTTGACAGTTTGCAAGTTCATTAATCTTGTTTTTCATAGATATGCAATGCCTTTAATTTTTAGCAAGGACATAATACACGTTCCTAGGTGGGTTCGAACCACCAACCTTTCGGTTAACAGCCAAACTCGCTGTCCAATTGCGCCACAGAGACTTGTGAGTGTACCAACCCTTTACATGGCATAATTTTGCCCCGATTGACACTAACGCTGTTTCACTTAATTGTAATAACTGCACAAGTGGACCTGCAATGGACTGTCAACCTGTATCCCACCTTTTTGCCTAGAGACTGCTGGAGAAAGTCACCAGCCCCCTGTAAACTGATGGATGCATGGAACGTTGTTAATGTCGTATAAACTATCCAGCGTTCAGGTTTTTCGAACAAGTGAACTCCCCAAAAATTACTGATAACACAAATTGAATTTTCTTGTGAAACATAAGCGGATCTGAATTCATGCGTTGAACCTGGGCTAAAATTGCTCAACAGGTTGACAGTTTGCAAGTTCATTAATCTTGTTTTTCATAGATATGCAATGCCCTTAATTTTTAGCAAGGACATATTACAAATCCTTGGGTGGGCTCGAACCACCAACCTTTCGGTTAACAGCCGAACGCGCTGTCCAATTGCGCCACAGAGACTTGTGAGTGATCCAACCCTTTACCTGGCATAATTTTGCCCCGATTGACACTAACGTTATTTCACTTAATTGTTATTACTGCACAAGTGGACCTGCAATGGACTGTCAACCTGTACCCCACCTGTTTGCCTAGAGACTGCTGGAGATAGGCACCAGCCCCCAGTAAACTGATGGATGTATGGAACATCGTTAATGTCGTATAAACTTTCCAGTGGTCAGGTTAATAAAACAAGTGAACTCCCCAAAAATTACTGATCACACAAATTGAATTTTCTTGTGAAACATAAGCTGATCTGAATTCATGCATTGAACCTGGGCTGAAATTGCTCAACAGGTTGACAGTTTGCAAGTTCATTAATCTTGTTTTTCATGGAAGCGCAATGTCCTTAAATTTCGGCAAGGACATATTACACGTCCCTGGGTGGGCTCGAACCACCAACCTTTCGGTTAACAGCCGAATGCGCTAACCAATTGCGCCACAGAGACTTGTGAAATGTTCCAACCCTTTACATGGCATAATTTTGCCCCGATTGACACTAACACTGTTTTACTTAATTGTTATAACTGCACAAGTGGACCTGCAATGGACTGTCAACCTGTATCCCACCTGTTTGTCTAGAGACTGCTGGAGAAAGGCACCAGCCCCCTGTAAACTGATGGATGTATGGAACATCGTTAATGTCGTAGAAACTATCCAGTGGTCAGGTTTATAAAACAAGTGAACTCCCCAAAAATTACTGATCACACAAATTGAATTTTCTTGTGAAACATAAGCGGATCTGAATTTATGCGTTGAACCTGGGCTAAAATTACTCAACAGGTTGACAGTTTGCAAGTTCATTAATCTTGTTTTTCATAGATATGCAATGGCCTTAATTTTTAGCAAGGACATATTACACGTCCTTGGGTGGGCTCGAACCACCAACCTTTCGGTTAACAGCCGAACGAGCTGTCCAATTGCGCCACAGAGACTTGTGAGTGTTCCAACCCTTTACATGGCATAGATTTGCCACGTTTGACACTAACGCTGTTTCACTTAATTGTTATAACTGCACAAGTGGACCTGCAATGGACTGTCAACCTGTATCCCACCTGTTTGCCTAGAGACTGCTGGAGAAAGGCACCAGCCCCCTGTAAACTGATGGATGCATGGAACGTCGTTAATGTCGTATAAACTATCCAGCGGTCAGGTTTTTCGAACAAGTGAACTCCCCAATAATTACTGATCACACAAATTGAATTTTCTTGTGAAACATAAGCGGATCTGAATTCATGCGTTGAACCTGGGCTAAAATTGCTCAACAGGTTGACAGTTTGCAAGTTCATTAATCTTGTTTTTCATAGATATGCAATGGCCTTAATTTTTAGCAAGGACCTATTTCACGTCCCTGGGTGGGCTCGAACCACCAACCTTTCGGTTAACAGCCGAACGCGCTGTCCAATTGCGCCACAGAGACTTGTGAGTGTTCCAACCCTTTACATGGCATAATTTTGCCCCGATTGACACTAACGTTATTTCACTTAATTGTTATAACTGCACAAGTGGACCTGCAATGGACTGTCAACCTGTACCCCACCTGTTTGCCTAGAGACTGCTGGAGATAGGCACCAGCCCCCAGTAAACTGATGGATGTATGGAACATCGTTAATGTCGTATAAACTTTCCAGTGGTCAGGTTAATAAAACAAGTGAACTCCCCAAAAATTACTGATCACACAAATTGAATTTTCTTGTGAAACATAAGGGAATCTGAATTCATGCATTGAAACTGGGCTGAAATTGCTCAATAGGTTGACAGTTTGCAAGTTCATTATTCTTGTTTTTCATAGATATGCAATGCACTTAATTTTTAGCAAGGCTTATTACACGTCCCTGGGTGGGCTCGAACCACCAACCTTTCGGTTAACAGCCGAACGCGCTAACCAATTGCGCCACAGAGACTTGTGGAAATGAACACTTGACGTGGTATAATTTTGCCTCGCTTGACACTAACGCTTTTTGACTTAATTGTTATAACTGGACAAGAGGACCTGCAATGGACTGTCAACCTGTACCCCACCTGTTTGCCTAGAGACTGCTGGAGATAGGCACCAGCCCCCAGTAAACTGATGGATATATGGAACCTCGTTAATGTCGTATAAACTATCCAGCGGTCAGGTTTTTCAAACAATTGAACTCCCCCAAAAGACTGATCACACAAATTGAATTTTCTTGTGAAACATAAGGGAATCTGAATTCATGCATTGAACCTGGGCTGAAATTGCTCAACAGGTTGACAGTTTGCAAGTTCATTAATCTTGTTTTTCATAGAAACACAATGTCCTTATTTTTCGGCAAGGACATATTACACATCCCTGGGTGGGCTCGGACCACCAACCTTTCGGTTAACAGCCGATTGCGCTAACCAATTGCGCCACAGAGACTTTTGAAGAACACTTGACGTGGTATAATTTTGCCTCGCTTGACACTAACGCTTTTTGACTTAATTGTTATAACTGGACAAGTGGACCTGCAATGGACTGTCAACCTGTACCCCACCTGTTTGCCTAGAGACTGCTGGAGATAGGCACCAGCCCCCAGTAAACTGATGGATATATGGAACCTCGTTAATGTCGTATCGGTCCCGAGCACCGGCAGTGGATTCCTGGATCCTGGATTGAGGATGCCTCCCTGATTGAGGACTTTGAGGCCTCCCGTGCTTCCTCCTCCTCCGCCTCCTCCTCCTCTGCTGGGCCGCCAGGTGGTGTCCCTTGTGGGGGGGGCAATGTCACGGTTTGTCTCCATCTGCTGGTGAGGTGTGTCAGCTCTATGTTTGCAGGAGGGCGCGGCAGTCATCTCAGCTATTGGGAATTCCACTAATTGGAGATACAGTGGATTTAAGGAGTGGCGTGACTCAACCCCAGTGCCAGTTGATACTCTCACACGGTATCTTGTTATGCACCACCTACCTTGCCTGGAGTTGTCAGACGTCTCGTCACTCAAGGATCCTCTGGCCTCCTTTCTCCACACCTGCCCGCTTGCCCATGCTCAGAACCATCTCACCAGTTCCAACCTCTTCCAGTTCGTCTCCGCTCTAATCCTGGTTTTGGACCGTAATAACTTTTAATTACGGACTCATATTCTCCTGGTTCTCTGGTTCTGGCCTTGCTTACCTTCTGTTTTTATCCTCATAGATTCCGGTACCATCCTGTTCCTGTTCACAGAAGCAGCGCCCTTAGTTCTAGTTCTTTTTTCTGTTCACTTTAAAATAAAACATTTATATTTTTTACTTATCTCTTGTGTGATTCTTCATGTCCTGGTTGAAGTACATTACCCACAACATGACAGAATCAATCATAGGAAGGACTATTTAGATCTAACCTACAATTTTAATAAAATAGGGGAAATCAACAACATAGAATAAAAGGTCAAGAATCCAACACCTATAAAGATAACCTGAATGCTGCTTTAGATGAACATTGAATGTTGTGTACAGAAATAGATTATTTTCCTGTTTAATAAAATAAACCACACACTAGATTGTTTATATCTCAAGTGTATGAAGCAGA